GCCGGGCGACGGCCGATGGCCGACAGGCGACGGGCGACGCGCGGCTACGATTACCAACCGAGTGCGATGCACACACCTCGACGAACGCAGACGACGCGGCGACCAACCGACGAAACCAACCAACCAACTGTCCAGTCACCGAGCGGCCACGGCCAAGAAAGCTCACCTGCTGGAGAGGTGGTTGGCTGAAGGTTCTCGCGGTGACTGCACCCAAGCTTCGGCGGAAAAGGGTGTGAAGCGGAGACACGGAGAAGGGATGGAGGATGGAAGGTCGNAGAAAGAGAGAAAGAGAGAGAGAGAGAGGGAGTTAGGCTCTGGCTTACGATATAGCGGACGTAAACAGAAGCGTCGAGGGTTAATCCGAGAGGAACGGGAGAGATGGACGGACGGACGGACAGCAGCCGAGCGAGATGGACTGCGTTATCGGAGCACGATGAAATGGGGGTAGAATCACGATCGCCGCCCCCAGCATCCCGGAGACTGAGGCTGGCCGGGAGGTCTCTTCCCGGGCAGCGGCAGCTTCTTGCACAAGCGCACTGGGATCCGCGGCTTTCACTCTGTACCGCTCTCTCGCGTCCAAACCCTCTTTTTCTCCCCGATATCTTTCGTCTCCTTTCCCCGATCTTTCCCCACGCCCCGTCTTTTTCACCCCTTTCGCTCCTTCCGTCTCCTTTCCGCCACCGCCCCTCGCTCCTACCGCGCCGAGACCCAACGAGAATCCTCCACCTCTTCCCTTTCTTCCCTTCCAATCTCGCGTCGCGTCGCGAATCTCTTCCTCCTCGTGTCCTCCTTTCTCTCCTTCCCTTCTCTTTACGCCATTCTCTCTCTCTCTCTCTCTCTGTTCCTCTTTCCTTCCATTCTCCACTCCACCTGCTAATCGCTACGTTCGAATACTCGATCGAGTATCGCTTCGTTCCTCCGTATATCTCGATTCGAAGGGAAATACGAGCCACCCCTCCCGCGTTTTCCTTTTCAACTTTTCCACCAATTCTCGCCTCGACTCTCTCCGCCAATCCTCCAACCCAGTAATCGCGGTCACTGGGTTTTCGGAGTAGCGAACCTCTCCATCGAGGCGAGTTTCAACCGAAGAAAGATCTTTCAATCCTCTGTGCACGCCTTTCGATTCGCAACGCAACGAACGAAAATTCCTCGCTCCCCTCACTCTTCCTTCCAGTTTTTTGCGCGACCGTTCATTCAGAGCCAGCTCCGCCAACGATAAACCGTGAATAAACATTCAGGCAACGTCCTCTTTTTCCATTTTTATCCCCACGATCTTGGGTTATTTAAATATCCTTTCAGATCTATTCTCAGCCTCCCGGACATAGCGGATGCTGAAGACGCGGCATCGATGCATTTACGAGCCGCCTTTGTACGCCTCTCTCTCTCTCTCATTCTCATTCTATGTTCGAGCACAATCCACAGTTGGCGAGAATCGGTGAAGCACCCTTTGCCGGTAACTCGTCCTGCATCGGGGGTTGTCGCTTGTCTTTTGTGAATTTCAGTATGGAGAACGCGTGCGCTATCCCGAAACCCTCTCTCGAGCCTCGTTTTCGCGATCAATTCCTCCGAAAATTTGAACCGACGGCGTTCGACTCTCTCACAATTTTATTGAACGAACGTATCGTACCGTTTCAGCTTCCATCTCGAGAAGACGCGATGTTTCACCATCGCTTTCAACCCGTTCCCTTTCCACGCGACCGCAAGATCGCCTCTCTGTCTCTGCCGATAAGTTTTTAATTCCGTCCAAAGAGAGAGAGAGAGAGAGAAAAAGAGAGCGAAACTCTCGTCGCCCGAAAGTTGGAAGAGCGCACATTCGGCTGCGTTCCCACGGGAGGAGGATCCGGAACGGCGAGAGGTAGGAGACCCGGATGGGTGGAACGTCCAGGAGGGGAGGGGAGTGATGTGCTCTGTGGTTCTGCGACCCACTGACCCGCTCGATAACGCTAGCACCGAGGTCAGTAACCTTACCCTACCACAAAATTCTCCATCCTACCTTTTCCACCCTTTTCGTTACCGGTCGTTCGCTCCCCGCGCCGATTCCTCCATTGCGAGATCCGGGATTATCCTCCCTCCCCGATCATTTCTCTCCAAACGTCATCGATTCCGTCCCGTTCGAACGGAAAAAAATTACAAACTGGCGAAAAAAAGAAAACTCCTCCCTCGATAAATGATGACGATGTTTCTCAACTTGGTTGAGATCGATGGATATATGGAAAAAATTCGACGAGCGTGAATTATACGCTCGTTTCAGCGTCGCGGTAGGTACGGCGAGGGTTGTTTTTCCGATTGCGAAGGTCGGTGACCGGATGGCCGCTCGATGATCGAAATACTTGGCAGCCATCCATCGAATCCGTGCCAACCTCGATCACAGTTTTCCTAGTTTTTCCCTCCCCCTTTCCCTCACTCCTCAAGTAGGACAACTTTTTCACCCGTGCTCGTAATCCATGCGCTCGTACGAGAGAAGAATCTCGGGCGCGCGATCAACCTCCGTTATTGCGGTAATCTGTACAAATGGTCGCGTGAGAATTAACGTGATGCGGCGTGTCACGCGATAAAGGAGATCCCGGTTGTGCTCTCAAGAGAGAGAAAGAAAGAGGAGAGAGAGAGAGTTTCGGTTAAGGGTGGAAGACCGCAGAAGATCGGTACACGGTTGGCGATCTCGTTCCCAGCGATGATTCGAATCGGGTCACAGATACGGCGCAATACCGGTGTCCCCCTCGCATTTTTTTTCTGCGTGTTGTAATATCGCGTTGCAAGGATTGCGACAGGCCAGACTCACGCACACCGAGTATTGATTTCGAGTCTCGGTGGCAGTGCTGCCACGATTCCGCGCCTCTAGAACTAAAGCCTGGATGAGAGTGGTCGGAGAGAAGATAAATACGCGATTCCTTTCTCGATTCTTTCCCACGTCATTTCCTTCTACGCTTTCCGCGATTCAACGTTGCAACGTTCGCGAGAATATTGGATTTCTGTTCGTCGAGAACGATGTTTTCATTGCATAGAATTTAAACGAAATTCTACCAAACATTATCGTTGGAATTCGTTTATTTCAAACAGGTTTTTGGATTTTAGTGTTTAGTTTAGTCGAGATCGAATCGAAGATAATCGATTCGAAGATCGATTCTTTATTCGCTAACTAACTAAAAATTTGAGTTAAAATTCTCTCTTGAAATCTCTTTTGAAATTTAAACCAAACATTATCGTTGGAATTCGTTTATTTCAAACAGGTTTTTGGATTTTAGTGTTTAGTTTAGTCGAGATCGAAGCTGAAGATAATCGATTCGAAGATCGATTCTTTATTTATTAAACGCGTTATCAACGTTTTAAAGAGATTTTCGAGCAAGTTCGTTTGGTTTTTTTTTTTAGATCGGCCTCGAGTTGCATCTCGAGGTCGTCGACGCGGCTTACCTTCTACGGATGCACCCCGCATCGCCGAAGGGCTGATTCAAAATGGCGTTCCTCTTTAACCGCGCATATTAACGAGCATAAATCTCCATGCGGAGTATGTTCCCTCGTATAACGACACGAGTCGAGATAACGAAACTTTGCAACTTCCTGTTCTCTATATGCGTGTTCTTCGGTATACTTTTCAAAAATTCGCTCGCTCGCTTTAATCACTCGAGAGCGAATCGAAGCCGAATGTCGATTCTTTATTCGCTGAGTAACTAAAAATTCGAGCTAAAAATTCGCCTCTTTCGGAATTCTAATCAAATATTATCGTTGGAATTCGTTTATTTGGAACAGGTTTTCGGGTGTTTAATGTTTAGTTTAAGATAATCCATTCGATTCTTTATTCGCTGACTAACTAAAAATTCGAGCTAAAATTCGACAATTCAAAATTCTACCAAACGTTATCGTTGAAATTCGTTTATTTGGAACAGGTTTTTGTTTAGTGTTTAGTTTAAGATAATCCATTCGATTCTTTATTCGCTGGCTAACTAAAAATTCGAGCTAAAATTCGACAATTCAAAATTCTACCAAACGTTATCGTTGGAATTCGTTTATTTGGAACAGGTTTTCGGGTGTTTAGTATTTCGTATAGTCGAGAGCGAATCGAAGCCAAAGATAATCAATTCGAAGATCGGTTCTTTATTCGCTGACTAACTAAAAATTTGAGCTAAAATTCGTTTCTTTTGAAATTTTAACCAAATATTATCCTTGGAATTCGTTTATTTGAAACAGGTTTTTGTTTAGTTTAGTCGAGAGCGAATCGAAGCCAAAGATAATCGATTCGAAGATCGGTTCTTTATTCGCTGACTAACTAAAAATTTGAGCTAAAATTCGTTTCTTTTGAAATTTTAATCAAATATTATCCTTGGAATTCGTTTATTTGAAACAGGTTTTTGTTTAGTGTTTAGTTTAGTCGAGAGCGAATCGAAGATAATCGATTCGATTCTTTATTCGCTGGCTAATTAAAAATTCGAGCTAAAATTCCTCTTTCGAAATTCTAACCAAATATTATCCTTGGAATTCGTTTATTTGAAACACGTTTTCGGCTGTTTTCCTCCACGCAAACGTGAACACGATCTTTCCAAAAATAAACGAGTAGCAAACGTAGCCATGCTCCATCGATGTCTGTTACGCGACGAGATCGTAAAACCCGTGTTATTTCGATCCGAGTGGAAAGGATTTTCGTTATCCATAGCGGAACCACGTGGCCACGTGATTCAACCTGCACGCTTCCATTATCATTCGAGTCGCGTGCAAATTATATTCGACCTTGGCGGGAAACCTGTCGATATTTAATTTTTCCGCCAACGCACATTCCCGTAATACCCTATTTTTATCGTCGTGCGAAGAAGACAAAGAGGACGAAGAGGAGGAGGAGGAGGAGGAGGAGGCGAGCGGACAACGCGTTTGCGACAACTCGTTGCGGGCGTGTAAACGCAATTAGAGGAGATGCAGAGAAAAGCATTACGAAATCGCGTCCCGTCTCGCGAGGGCACCTTTCGTCACCTCGAGGATCTTAAGAACTTGCGCTCGTAAGAATATGTACTCACTTTGCGTTTTTTGGCAGCGTGCCAGTCGCTGGGCCGGAGTGCGTAGGGGTGAGGCAGAGGGGTGGGTTGTTGGCGTTTTGAGGCACTAAAGGCTGCCTCGCGTGCGCCGGCGACGTATGCGAGCCGTAACCATCCGAATTCAGCTGGAAACAACGAATTCCAACACTTGAGATCACGGAGATCTGTTGCTCCATCTTTCCTACATATATATATATTCGAATATTTTCTGAGATCCCTTCGTCAAGGATTTCCACGCTACATTATCACAGAATAAAACGTTGACACTGGTTTTCCAAGAAAAAATATTTATATCCTATTTAAAAGCGAAATCTGTCGAAGGATCGCGTAAGAAATATCGCGTAAGAGATTATATCGCAATTAAATAAGTTTAATTATAACTGGTGTTTACAAAATCGATGAAACAGGGGGTAGAGAGAGAACGGTAGAAAAGCGAAAGTAAGTGGTCCAAGTTACCTTGACGACCGTGCCGATGAGCGAGTCGGGCGGCATTTCCGGGGGATCCGGAATCACTCCAGGGTTGGTGTGGGCAGGATAATCGGTGTGCAGGTTGGGCTCCTTGACGGGAGTGCCGTCGAGTCGTTCCATGTCCAGGCTGTCTGTCGGTGTCGGCTGGGAGAGCAGGCGCTCCTTCATCTCGTGGAGATACGGACACCGCTGCATCTCTTGTTCAGAGTTGTTCCTCGGTCGATCTGCAAAGATATCGGTCCGATTAAACGAGACGGTCTCTCTCTCTCTCTCATTCTCTCTCTCCGTCTCTCGGTTCGTCAACGTCCTCGTCGATAGTCGATCCACGCGCCGCGTCTTTCTTTCGTAACCGATATCTTTAATTACACGTCTCGTGAATAATTCATCGAAACCATTAGGTTATCGGTCGGTCGTCCTCGTTTCGAGAACTCCGATGTTTCCATTCCACCAGAGAAGATCTCTCCAAGATCGAAGTATTTCGCTACATTCGGGATCGAGCGAAGATCGAAGCGTTTTTTCACCTCCACTTAAACTTCCATTCTCGAGCGCGTTTTCACAATGTTCGAAAAGAATTCGTCTCCTCAACGCGTATCTACCTTTTCTCCCTCTTCTCTCCGCTTCCTCGACAATTAGTCGTCCCAAGGCGAATATCGAGCACATGTCCACGTCCTCGTCGTGGAAAGCGACGACCTCCTCGAGTGGCAATCGATAGGAAGGTGAGGAGAGAAAAAGAGAGAGAGAGAGATAGGCCGCTCGCCTAATCTCGGGCCGCCGTGACGTTAGCCTTGAACGTTGAACTTACTCGGCTCGGTATCCATCGCGTGCTAGCGCGAGGTGGGAAGCGGAAAAACGCGAAAATTTTCGGGGCGAAGGTTTTCGGGACGAGGAACTAAATCGATCGATCGCCGCGATCCGATCGACACTGGTTCTCAAGGGG